GAGTTACTATAGTCGAAAGGTGTTAATCATAATTAATGTTATTTTTATATTTAATTTAAAATACAATTGTAAAAATGTTTCACCTTGCATTGAACGGGTCATGTATTAGTTGTTATATAAACGGTGAGTTGAAAAAAATTAAAGGTGATAGTTTAGTTAGTGAGTAGTTTTGTTTCCTTTTATTATCCACATTTTGGGAACAAAATGCCTTAAAATTTCTCTCAGTTTCATGTATTTGATTGGCACGACCATGACCTTGCAATTTTCGTGTGTATTTTCATGATAACCATTCTGATTTGTAGCTCAGTTTGAATAGAAAAGTGTTGGTTCACACGGTATTATATACCGTCGTTCCCAATAGAATACATTAAAAAAAACAATCATAATAAAATCTTAATGCCAAAAAGCTAAGAAAAACTCAAATGATCATCCCACAAATATCTATATAAAAGTTTCATAACATGAAAGCGCATGGAGAAACAATAGGTACACAATTTCAAACATGGAACCTATTGCTACCTTTATAATTCAAATGGATCTCCCTTTATAACGTTTTTCCCTTCCGAACAACAACAAGAAGAAGAAGAAAAACAATAAAAGATGATGAGTACGTACATACACATCGCCATTTATTGGGGTGGCGCGCAATCGGCTTTTTGGTTGCCTCCATCATTTGGAGCCTCACCCTCGTCGGTCCTTAAACATTGATCGACAAATTCCATGTCACTAATATCCAAAGTATGTTGTAGTGGAAGATAGGTATTCTCATGTGGCCACAGAATCCCATTGGATGATGGTGATAGGATGAGCCCAATATAGGTGGTTGTATGCTCTGTAGGGATTATGATCATGCAACATCCCATGATTATAATATGTTCAATATTATTACCAAAATGCTGGCCCGCATGTGCCATGTGGTTGGCTACGTTTGGGAAGTTCATGCTGTAACGGTTATTTGACAATTGGTAATTGTTATCCCACAACAACTGGTTTTGGTGGTAAACATTCACATCTCTAACGCCATTATCATTGCTCCTCATCATCACACTCTGCACACCCATTGATCCATCATCAAGATGCCTTTGTTGCTCGTGATCATTGGACTCTGTTCGGCCATTTAGCCCATCACCACAATGCCTTTGTTGTTATCTTCCATGATCACAATGCCTTTTTGTCGTCTTCCAATTCACTGCTATCGCCTAATAATGGGGACTAGAGACTATAATCCTCATCATCAAGAATGCTTTCATCAACATCCATTTGCTTTTTATTTGACCTTTTCAACTTTTTGTAGACCCGACATAGGACTCAATCATCTAACGGGTAT